CTCCAGGATTATGTTTTCTTTATCTCTTGATAATGACTATTGTTTCTAGATTGAATGTTTGCAAAGCATTTTATAGTCATCATTTCATTTGTTCTTCACAATGACTTTATTGGGAACATGCTACAAGTATTATCTTGTGCATTTTATATAAGAGGAAATGACACTCCAAGAGATTATTTTTTCCCCATATTCTTACTACTGGAAGTTCCAGAGACAGGATTTGAATCCAGATCTTCCAGAGTCCAAATCCAGAACTCTATCCATCACAACACTCTGCTTCATGTAAATCATAGCCCAGAACCACCAAGTTCTCAGTTTATGTGACACAAATTCAGTTCTGGTGGCTTCTGGCTGCTGCCATTTATGAGAAAGGATGTTCTACCATTTTCTCTCCATCCCAGATCTTGAGGTTCAGGACTATTACTACTCTTTCACTTGGTCACATGGTTATTTGTTCCATAAACCCTCCTGAAGATTTGGATTCTTCAACTCTGACACTTTTCTAGGAGGCAGTTCAGGAACTCTTACAATTACACAGCCTCTAACTGCCTCCATAGGTTCTACCATTGCTTTGTCATGAAGGAATTTGGAGTCCAGGAACTCATCTCACTTAGCCACACTGTTCCCTTCTAGACAATTCTTATCTCTCAAGCCATGAGGATTTTTCTCTGCCTCTCCAACACTGAAACTGAGAATATGGTATTTGTAGGAGAATATACAGAAGGACAGGGTTTACCAATACTCATTTCTCACAGAACTTAAGTTTATTCTCAGATCTCTTGTTTCTGGTCTGTGCTCATCTCTCTCTAAGTCTCCTGTCAAGTGACATGGAAAATATTCCTTGGCTATTTTATGGGCCCAATAAATCAATCAAGAAGCATTTATTAAACACTTTCTATGTGCCAGGAACTATGCTAAGTTCCGGAGTTATGGAGAAAAAAGATAAAATAATCTTTACCTTCAAAGAACTTACATTATATTGGGAGAAGAGAAAGATTTATATATAGGTGTGTGTGTCTGTGTGTGTACCTACACACAGACTCAGATGCACATACCTAGTGCAAAAGGGTAGCTCTATTCCATGATATCCTGAGTGAATAAAATGCTATCCAGTGTGGAGATTTAATCAGTCCTTGTTGATAATTAGACCTAGCAATGAGATGCAATAAAGACCTTTTACACATAATTAAAGACCTTAATAATATAATCATAATTTAACTTAATTAATTTGACTGACATCTCAATATCACTCTACATGTGTTTCTTTAACAGTACCTTTCACAGAGTTGAAGTATAGCAGATGCTTTGTATATCCCTTTCCAGGTAAGGCATGATTTAATGAGTTCAAGGGAACACTTGAAATAGAAATTCCCTCTAATAATACATATGATAAGTCTAAGTAACCATGGTCTTAGAAAAGTTGGTTATGTTGCTGAGAATTTTTGACTTTCCCATGGCCACAATACTAATATGGATAATAAGCAAGATTTGAACAAAGACTTTCCTGTTTCAAGGAGTTTCTCTTTCCATTACACCACATTATCTCTCCTTGATTAATATACAGCAAAATAAGAAACTGCTCTTAGAGATGTATAAGAAAAAGATTCTAAAGTATAAAATCTCTAATGTTGTCTTTAACCTTCTTAACAGTGATTGTTTTCTAGTTTAAGGAAAGCAAAATTCATGTGATCTCCTTCTTTTTAGAACTTTTCATTTAATGCCATTTTTTACTCCCCATCATTTCCTTCTATATCAAATCTGCTATTTCCCTGTGATGCTAATGAATTTTCTTCATAGAGGCAAGTGGTTCTTCACATGGTATGAGAGACCTGGGCCTGAGTAATAGCTCTGATATTTCCTTGCTATGCAATCATGACAAAGTCACTTAGAGCCCTCTATATTTTGTTTTCTTTGTCTGAAAATTATTATTATTATTATTATTATATTTTTACTATCTGATAGTATTACTGAGATAAAAGTTCTACTTTGCAAACTTTAAAGCACTACATAAATATGAATATTATTATATATCCCCTATATATATTTTACATATATGACAGTTTGACATCCTACACAAGTTTTTAAGAATATTTCATATAATACTACAAGGATACCTCTCTCTCTCTCTCTCTCTCTCTCTCTGTCTCTCTCTCTCTCATTCTCTCTCTCTCACTGGTAATGCAGATATTTGATTCCAGAGGATCAAAGGATCATAGATTTAGAGCCAGAAGTGACCTTAAAAACACCAAGTCCAATCACCTCATTCTACAGATGAGGAAAATAAAGTATCAGGGACTTAAATTGACCAAGGTCACATAGCTAGTAATTTTAAGGTCAGAATTCAAACGCAGGTCTCTTAACTCCAAGTCTATCACTCTTTTCACTATAACACATTGACTAATTACCTCCTTTTGATTCTGTCAAAAGTAACATTAATTTTTCTTTAAATGACAGGAACTGGTTTGGGGAATTTCAGATCACTAAATCAAAGGAAATTCCAGGAAGTCATTAAACCACATTTTGGGAATCATTCTTTTGAATTCTGTCTTCAGAATTGTTGTAAATTTTGGAATTATTAAGCATCATGGGCAGGATTGAATCTATAGTATATAGAGATGAAATTATATGGAGTGATTAAATTGTATTGAGCTAGATAATTCAAGGAACTTCTATCATGGGACTGAAATTAAAAGAGTTTGTTCTGGAAGTATGGGTTTTGTCTGTGTGAAGAGTTATAACTCATCTGAAGAAAATGCTGAATAAACATATAGGTGATAGAGAATGTACTTATTTAGTTGTGTCAAAAATCAACTTTTCAAGAGAATTCAAATGAATCCAGGTTGAACATGCTATTGTGCAAATGTGTGAATTAATTTCTAATGTACTACAAATAATATTTTTCCCCCAGGAAGTAATATTCTGGATAATTACAAAGTAATTATAAATCATAATTAAAGAATCACAGAATTTCAGAACTGGAAGGGGTCTTATTGACCATTTCATTAAATCTTTACCTAAATGATAACCACCTCTATAACATATCTGATGAGACTATTCTATCTTCCATGAGACATCTCTTCCAATAATCATTACAGGAAAGACAAATGTGCTCTTGTTAGTATCTTAAACTATGAAGTAGTTTATTGAGAGCATTAAAAGTTTCTTTCATGAATGATAAAAGTTAACTATTCATAATCTCAGTAATAACACTAGTCCTCTGCGTGCAAGGAGATTAAAATTTTCAGCAATGAGCTGGCCTTTACTTTAACCACAAACATTCAAATCAATGTGTTTAGGTGGCAAATTTGAAACATTATAATGAACAGAGGACTGTAAAGCTACTTGTGAGACTCTTTTCCTTATTTTTGAATTTAAAAACACTTTCCATATTTTCTTCAAAGTATTATATAATTGAGAATCACTTTTATCAGATCAATACATAATTTGGACCAAAATATAGTCATAGTAAATTGTACTAGAAATAGCCTTTCCTTTCCTTTCCTTTCCTTTCCTTTCCTTTCCTTTCCTTTCCTTTCCTTTCCTTTCCTTTCCTTTCCTTTCCTTTCCTTTCCTTTCCTTTCCTTTCCTTTCCTTGCCTTTCCTTGCCTTTCCTTGCCTTTCCTTGCCTTTCCTTGCCTTTCCTTGCCTTTCCTTGCCTCGCCTTGCCTCGCCTTGCCTCGCCTTGCCTCGCCTTGCCTCGCCTTGCCTTGCCTTGCCTTGCCTTGCCTTGCCTTGCCTTTCCTTGCCTTTCCTTTCCTTGCCTTTCCTTTCCTTGCCTTTCCTCCTTCCTTCCTTTCCTCCTTCCTTTCCTTTCCTTCCTTTCCTTTCCTTTCCTTTCCTTTCCTTGCCTTTCCTTGCCTTTCCTTGCCTTTCCTTGCCTTTCCTTGCCTTTCCTTGCCTTTCCTTGCCTTTCCTTGCCTTATTTAGCAAAGAACCAGCCATGACTTATAGTATCATTTTGGCTCTTTCATTTCACCTACTGTTTATATTTGAGCCCTAAATAAAAGAGAGATACTGTCATGGCAGCTATAACCACAAGTTATTCTCTTGTCCTTTCTTCAAAGGCATTGAGAGGAAAGTTTGTGAACAATTTTCCTACAGTAATATTTACAATGGTAACTTATTAACTATAATGATTCTCATGTCTTATTATTCCTTTGGTAAAAAATTCACTATTAAAATGAAGTTATCTTTCTAAAACTAGACAGGACACAAATTTCTCATATGGTAAACATTATACTACTCTGTTATTGTGGGTGTGTGTGTGTTTCCCCTTACAAATAGAATATAACAAGCTCCAAGTTCTGCAATAGTGGCCCCAGAATTGAGAAAATAGAATAGCTTTAGCATAAAGGGTGACCACAAAAGGGCAAGGGTGTTGTTGTTTAGTCATTTTCAGTCATGTCTAATTCTTTGTGACCCCTTTTTGGGGTTTTCTTGGCAAAGATACGGGAATGTTTGTCATTTACTTCTCTAGCTGATGATGAACTGAGGCAAACAAACTGAAGCCAACAGGGTTAAGTGACTTGCCCAGGATCACATAGCAAATAAGTGTCTGAGGTCAAGTTTGAACTAATGTCTTCTTGACTGTGTGCCCAGAGCTCTATTCACTGCACCACCTAACTGCCTGTTATATAAAATAGTACCTTTATTTTCCTAGTTAACACTGTCTAGTTTGAGTCACAAGTAGTGGGGCCCCTTCTTCTTCTACCTGCTATCTGTTCCATGGGATGCGTTCCATTTCAGGTAGCCAAGAATGAACATTTATATAGGGAAGGAAAAACACCCTGTTTAAAGCTATTGAACATGTGAAGTATAGTTGATTAGGTTACTATTTCTAATAATGTCTGTAACTACTGAACACCTGGTTAAAGATAATGTACTCAGGGACTCATTAACTACTGTACTCCTGAAGGAAGAATATGCTTCTAAAAGCACAGATTTGCTCATATTACACACATAGTGTTCCAAATATTTAAGGTACAGAAAAAGGGCCTTACCCGCGCCTTTTGCTCCATCTCTAGCATTAGTCTTTCATGTTGTTCTGCTATTGCCAAGGTTGCAGAGTGTACCTTCTGATAGATCATTTCTCCTTCCCTTGTTTGAAAGGTGAATAGTCCTTCTCCTGTGTCACACATCCTGTGAGAATGGAGCAAGGGAAAGGTATGAAGAGAATATTTTTGCTCTATTGCTGAAAGTTTCTTGAAATTTTTAAAGTTTTAATTAATCCCTTGCAACATTGGCCCAGATCTGGAAGAACAAAACAAAACAAAAACAACCTACCACCACCACCAGCACCACCGTCAAATAAACATCACCAAAAATCAAGTAGTTTAAAGGGAATGAGATGCTTAATCAGTGTTAATGTGAACTTGTGAAAAATTCTCAAGAATATTTATATTGACGTAGGTCATTATAAGGTACATTTATGTAATGGCTAAAGAATAAATGTAATTACTTATTTTCTTTAAATACATCCATTGTCCACAGGAAACTTAACTCTGAGATGGTATTGTTTTAATTGAAACATTTTGTTCAGATTAGAAAACTATTGATTTATGACATCTAGGGAAAAAACAAAAAAGATTATAGATTTTAATTGATACTTATACCCTTCAAAGGTCTATGATACTAGTCAGCTAAGTGATATAGTGGATAGATAGAATGCTGAACTTGAAGTCAGGAATATTAGTCATTTGCTAGTTGTGTAACTTTGGTAAGTCATTTAACCTTGCTCTGCCTCAGTTTTCTGCACCTACTTTGTAGGGTTTTGAGGATTAAATGAAATAACATATATAAAGCACTTTGCAAACCTTAAAGAGCTATGTAAATGGTAGCTATCATTGGCACTTCATCTACCAATGTGGATCACACTTCTAATTAGCATGCTACTTGAATTACTGTGGCCAAAATAATCATATTCTAGGTAGTACCAAAATGATATGTGGAAGCAAAGAATGAGGACAATGAAGGTAATCACCTATCCTTTTGGAACAGGTAATAATAGATACAAAATTATAGGTAGGAACTTTGATCAATGGAAAAACACCTAGAATATAACTTAGAAGATATTCAATATTAAAAACATAGTATAAGCTCTACAAATGAGTTTCTTAATTATCTTTGTATCTCACTAATAACCTAGAGAGCTTTGCACATAATAGGTTCTTAATAAATGAAATGATTATTGAATGAAAGTCAATAATGTAAAAAGATTGGAGCTCTTTAGGAAAAGACCACAACACATAGACCTATTTATGGAAAAATACTTAACTGAAAATAATCAGAATGATTAACTGGGTTGATTAAAATTTAGTTTCCAGGTGAGACTATGTAAAAGCTGTACAGAAAATTTCCTTGAGGCTCAGTTTTTCCTGCATTCAACTGAAAGGATTTCACTTGCTTCTCTATGAATCCCAAAGGAATTTCCAGAAGAAATGAAATGTCTCAAGAGGTTTTAGACATTATAGAATCGGCAATTGGGACCCTGTAGGGCACCATATAGCCTGCACTTAGCTTTTTTGTAAAGAGATCTTAATAAAATTCAAACAGCGTGAAATGGAAAGTCTAGAGGAAAAATGAAGAATTTTCTCAAAGTGAAATAAAATGAGTTTTTTTTGTTGTTGATTCAGAGGAGGTACAAGAATCTAACCAGTGCGACAACAAAACAACAGGCAGAAATGGTTGAATTTGAGGTTTGTGTTTTGTTGATTGTTTTACCAAGAAAATAAACAATTGATTGTCAGTTACTTAAGAGATATAATCAAGGGAAAAAGTCTTATTTCATGCCCAATAATTGAAATGCAAAGACCTATGGCAGATTATGCCCTGATAAACTAGTCTTTCAGGTAGGAAGTCTTCATAAAAAGATCTCTTTTAGTTACAAAAAAAAGTAAACTCTAGTTTTCTACAAGAAAAGAAAAACTTGAATAGTTGTATTCTTTGCACTCTGACTGCAAGAAAGGATATAGTCACAGGAGAATGAAAAGAGGGGAATAATAAAAACTAGAACATAAAAACAACTGGAATGATATAGTGATTGGAGTAAAAAAAATATTTTTTTCTTTAACAGTTGTACCATCAAATACAAAATCAAGAGTTGCATAAATGTGGTAAATGAGGGCAAATATACATATTTGAGAAAATATGAAACATGCTCTTCTATAATGCAATAATATTGGTATGGATATCCTTTATGCTTTATACAATCACATGAACTTTTAAAAATATGTATATCCAGCTGCAGGGCTAAAAATATCATGTAGAAAGACAATATTACTATAAGTTTATAGTGCTACAGGCAAAGATCACTGCATCATATTTTCAGTTATTGAGAAAGAAGGGACAGAATTAGGAAGAATGGTAATAACTCATTATAGTTATTTTTCTTGTATTACCTCACTAATGAGAAGGACAATCACATATGGAAGGGATGGTGAGCAGAGGACACCAAACTGGCAACCAAGTGAAAGGGGTTAGTGCAAGGCCACAACTGCAAACTTGGTAGTAAGTAGGGAGATGATAATTGGATATTTCTCTCTACACATTACTAGTATTTAATCAGAGAATTTGAGAGTTGGAAGGACCTAGTATAGTCTAATCCATTCCTGAAACAGGAAGCCTTTCCATAATATCCCTGGCAAGTTTATCACCCACTTATCCAGTATCTTAAAGATTTCTAGGGTTGTAGAACTCATTGTGTCCAGAAGAAGATGCTTGAGTTTTGTATAACTCAGTTTGCTAATAAGTCCTTCATTTTATTAGGCCCAAATTTTTCTACCCATAACTCTTGGTCACACATTCATACTTGTTGGTCCCTCAAGGCCAAGCAGAACAGTTGTAATTCTTCTCTCACATAACATTTAACATATTTGAAAATTTCTTTGCAGTCCTCTTCTTTAGGCTAAATGTTTTCTTTGAAGATTTCTATTACAGCCCTCTTCTCTGGGCTAAATATTTTCTTTGAAGATTTCTATTGCAACTCTCTTCCCCTAGGCTCAGCAACTTCCAATGATCCTTCTGTGGCATGGTTTCCAGACCCTTCAGTATTCTGTGGAAAATACACTTGAAGCACTTCAAAGTCTCAATGTCTTTTCTTAAATATGACTCCTAGAACTGAACACAATACTACAGATATGGCCTGATTGGAAAAGAGTACAGGAGGAATATTATCTGACTCACTTTGCTTCTATAGATGCAGGCTAAGAAATAAGAACACAATGTAGGATAAAGCTCCACTCAAGAATAACATAGCTCCACAAATATTGTTTTTATTAGAGGTACATCAATAAATATCAACTGAAATGTCAGGCAATTATAGTGCAATAGATACTTTGATACTTTCATGATTAGCTGGGACCTTAATACCTGAAACCACCAGCCTCCTTTCCCTCAACTCATAAGTTGTAGGATTTATTATCAGGACATCAATTTTAAGGACCCCCTCTAGTCCAGTGAATAACGAATAAAGAAAAACTACTATTCAGGCTATGATATGCATGTGGTGGCCTCCCATTTACATAGTCCCATTTGTATACACATAATACATAAATATATAGTGTATGTGCTATGTAATTATATATTATTTTTGTTTTGCTTGGAATTGCCAAAAGATAATAGGCAAGGCTCAAAACTGGATAAACATAGACACTAAATTGAACTACATTTGGGAAATTATGAAGGGCTTTAATGATTCCAAACTATTCTCTGAAGAAAAAAAAACAATTGAATAAGCAAAAAACTCTCTGAAACCATCATTCTATCACTGATGCTATGTGGCTTCAAATAATCAAAAACTGGAATTTCCAAAGAATCACAATTATTAGCAATCCAAAAAGTAACAGAGAGACAAGTGGTATGTACAAGTAGTCTGCAACATGTTTCTAGTGACAATTTATCGATAGGAATGGTATAAAAGGTATCATGAAGAACATTCATAATAGGAAAAGGAAATTAGCTGGTTACAAATCAAGAAGTTAACTGAGCAGTTTACTGTTAGTAATGGAATGTTTAAAGGTTAGAAGCAATGTCTACAGTATGTTATCATGTAGCTCTTCTATGGAGGAGTTGTAGCAGGTTATGTATAATAACTATAGAAGATCAGACAGTATAGACAATTTGGAATGTATACCAGTTGAGAGATTGCTTTCATTTATGAGGCCACAAATCTATCAAAGTATAATAGCAAAATCTGCACAATTTTTCTTTGTGATAAAGTCACTTCCACATGCTTACTATATTTCTTTGTGGAGTGTAGACTATGAAGATGAAATTCTTATTGATATGAAAATTGGAAAGTGTAGGGAGCCTTGATAAATATGCTAGACATAGCATGACCCAAACATACCTTTATAATTATCATCCTTGGTTAAAAAAATAAATATGTGTATGTGTGCACGTGTGGATGAAATCATCCCAGGGATAGATAAAATTACCTTTGGCAATTTCTTCCATCATTAATTTCATGTGTAGTATATTGTTCATATTTTTTAAAGAACTAGACAGATAACCTGTAGACACACAAACAATTTAAATGTCAACTAGGGGAATAAAACATAGAATCTAGCCTAAAGACACACAAGCACTTCTGTACAGTATTTAAAATTTAATGTTTAATTGTAGAAAGTAATGAAATTCTTAACCACACAGCTTTTCTTCATAACGGTTAAAAGCAATGAACACATTTAGTCCTATTAACAGTTTAATCTTTATTGTCATTTAGCAATATTGGCATTTTGCTTTTTAGTACTTCTGGAAGGAAAGAAACAAAAGTACTAGTGCTGGGAGCTTTCCTTTAAGATATTTGAATATCCTCAAATCATAGAATTCCATTGTTGAAATGTGTCTTTATAATAACAGTTTATTTTGATATAACAATTTCCAGTTTATAAAGCACTTTGCTTGAATTATATAATTTAATCATAACAACAATCCTGTGAAGAAGGTAGCATAAATATAATATTAGGATCTATCTTAGGGATCTTGGAGGTCATCTAGTCCAAGATCTAAGCTCATAGAAAATGGCTACAGCAGGCCTAACCAATGCTTATTTGGTCTCTACCTGAACACCTTACTTTGAACCCACTTATCCTCCAATGTAGTCCATTCTATTTCCTCCATTTATGGGAAAATTTTACCTA